CTACAAGACCATTGCCAAGCAGCTTGGAGACTGTCTGTCACTCCAGCGCTGTCCTACCAGACAGTCTCATCCCCTTCACCTGATGAAGGCCGCTTGTGTTGTGGCCGAAACGTCGTGAGAATATTATTGTGTTATTTTATTTTATCAATTTATTATTTTATCAATTTATTATACAATATTATTGTGTTATTTTATTTTATCAATTTATTATTTTTTCCATTTATTATTTTATTATACAATATTATTGTGTTATTTTATTTTATCAATTTATTATTTTTTCAATTTATTATTTTATTATACAATATTATTGTGTTATTTTATCAATTTATTATTTTATTCTCATTCTACGTGGTGGTGGTGACTTTACCGAAAGAACCAAAGCAGATAAAGCACACACACACACACATATATACATGCCCCGTCTGAAGTTTGCCAATGAACCATCTGAATGATTCAGAGGACAGCTGGGTGAAAGTGTTTTGTGGGTCAGATGAGACCAAAATGGAGCTCTCTGGCATCAACTCAACTCGCCGTTTTTGGAGGAGGAGGATGAATGCTGACCATGTGACCCCAAGAACACCATCCCCCCACCGTCAAACACGGAGGTGGAAACATTATGCTTTGGGGGTGTTTGTCTGCCAAGGGGGGACAGGACAACTTCACCGCATCAGAGGGACGATGGACTGGGGCCCATGTACCGTCAAATCTTCGGGGCGAGAAGAACCTCCTTCCCTCAGCCCAGGGGCATTGAAAATGGGTCGTGGATGGGTAATTCCAGCATGACAATGACCCAAAAACACACACGGCCAAGGCAACAAAGGAGTGGCTCAAGGAGAAGCACATTAAGGTCCTGGTAGTGGGCCTAGCCAGCCTCCAGGGACCTTAATCCCGTAGAAAATCTGTGGAGGGAGCTGAAGGTTTCGAGTTGCCAAACGTCAGCCTCGAAACCTTAATGACTTGGAGAAGATCTGCAAAGAAGAGTGGGACAAAATCCCTCCTGAGATGTGGTGCAAACCTGGTGGCCAACTCCAAGAAACGTCTGACCTCTGTGATTGCCAACAAGGGGTTTTGCCACCAAGTACTAAGTCATCTTTTGCAGAGGGGTCAAATACTTAGTTCCCTCATTAAGATGCAAATCAATTTATAACATTGTTGACACGCGTTTTTCTGGATTTTCTTGTTGTTATTCTGTCTCTCACTGTTCAAATAAACCTACCATTAAAATTATAGACTGATCATTTCTTTGTCAGTGGGAAAACGTACAAAATCAGCAGAGGATCAAATACTTTTTTCCCTCACTGTACGTACACACAGTGAGAGGCTGAGATACACAGAGACCCATAGAGATACACAGAGACCCATAGAGATACACAGAGACACACACAGAAACACACAGTCACAGAGAGAGACACACAGAGAGACACACAGAGAGACACACAGAGAGACACACAGAAAGACACACAGAGAGTCACAGAGACACACAGAGACACACACAGAGACTCACACAGAGACTCACACAGACTCACACAGAGACACACACAGAGACTCACACAGAGACTCACACAGAGACTCACACAGAGACTCACACAGACAGAGACAAAGAGACTCACAAAGAGACACAGACTCACACACAGACACACACAAAGAGACACAGAGACACACATACAGAGACACACATACAGAGACACGCACAGAGACACGCACAGAGACTCACAGAGACTCACACAGAGACACACTCAGAGACTCACACAGAGACACTCACAGAGACTCACACAGAGACACACACAGAGACTCACACAGAGATTCACACAGACTCACACAGAGACACACAGAGACACACACAGAGACTCACACAGAGACTCACACACAGAGACACACACAGAGACACACACAGAGACTCACACACAGAGACTCACACACAGAGACACACACAGAGACACACACAGAGACACACACAGAGACACACACAGAGACAGAGACACACAGAGACTCACACAGAGACAGACACAGAGACAGACACAGAGACACACACACAGAGACACACACACAGAGACACATACAGAGACAGAGACTCACACAGAGACTCACACAGAGACACACACACACAGAGACAGACACACACACAGAGACAGACACACACACACAGACACACACAGACACACACAGAGACACACACACAGAGACACACACACATAGACTCACACACAGAGACTCACACACAGAGACTCACACACAGAGACTCACACACAGAGACTCACACAGAGACTCACACACAGAGACACACACAGAGACACACACAGAGACTCACACACAGAGACACACACAGAGACACACACAGAGACACACACAGAGACACACACAGAGACACACACAGAGACACACACAGAGACAGAGACACACAGAGACTCACACAGAGACAGACACAGAGACAGACACAGAGACACACACACAGAGACACACACACAGAGACACACACACAGAGACACATACAGAGACAGAGACTCACACAGAGACTCACACAGAGACACACACACACAGAGACACACACACACAGAGACAGACACACACACACAGACACACACAGACACACACAGAGACACACACACAGAGACACACACACATAGACTCACACACAGAGACTCACACACAGAGACTCACACACAGAGACTCACACACAGATACTCACACACAGAGACTCACACAGATAGACACACAGAGACTCACACAGAGACACACACACACAGACTCACACACAGACACACACAGAGACACACACAGACACACACAGACACACAGACACACACAGAGACACACACAGACACACAGACACACACACAGACACACACAGAGACACACACAGACACACACAGACACACAGACACACACAGAGACACACACAGACACACAGACACACGCAGACACACACACAGAGATAGACACACACAGATAGACACACACACACAGAGACAGACACACACACAGAGACAGACACACACACACAGACACACACAGACACACACAGAGACACACACACAGAGACACACACACATAGACTCACACACAGAGACTCACACACAGAGACTCACACACAGAGACTCACACACAGAGACTCACACACAGAGACTCACACAGAGACTCACACACAGAGACACACACAGAGACACACACAGAGACTCACACACAGAGACACACACAGAGACACACACAGAGACACACACAGAGACACACACAGAGACACACACAGAGACACACACAGAGACAGAGACACACAGAGACTCACACAGAGACAGACACAGAGACAGACACAGAGACACACACACAGAGACACACACAGAGACACACACAGAGACACACACAGAGACACACACACAGACACACACAGAGACACACACAGAGACAGAGACACACAGAGACTCACACAGAGACAGACACAGAGACAGACACAGAGACACACACACAGAGACACACACACAGAGACACACACACAGAGACACATACAGAGACAGAGACTCACACAGAGACTCACACAGAGACACACACACACAGAGACACACACACACAGAGACAGACACACACACACAGACACACACAGACACACACAGAGACACACACACAGAGACACACACACATAGACTCACACACAGAGACTCACACACAGAGACTCACACACAGAGACTCACACACAGAGACTCACACACAGAGACTCACACAGATAGACACACACACAGAGACACACACAGAGACACACACAGAGACTCACACACAGAGACACACACAGTGACACACACACAGACTCACACACAGACACACACAGAGACACACACAGATAGACACACACACAGACACACACACAGATAGACACACACACAGAGACACACACACAGAGACTCACACAGAGACACACACACAGAGACACACACACACAGTGACACACACACAGACTCACACAGAGACACACACACACAGACTCACACACAGACACACACAGAGACACACACAGACACACACAGACACACAGACACACACAGAGACACACACAGACACACAGACACACGCAGACACACACACAGAGATAGACACACACAGATAGACACACACACACAGATAGACACACACACAGACACACACAGATAGACACACACACACACACAGAGACACACACAGAGACTCACACACAGAGACTCACACACAGAGACACACACAGAGACACACACAGAGACACACACAGAGACTCACACAGAGACACACACACAGACTCACACAGATAGACACACACACAGAGACACACACAGAGACACACACAGTGACACACACACAGACTCACACAGAGACACACACAGAGACACACAGAGACACACACACACAGTGACACACACAGAGACACACACACAGAGACTCACACACAGAGACACACACAGAGACACACACAGAGACACACACAGAGACACACACAGAGACTCACACAGAGACACACACACAGACTCACACAGATAGACACACACACAGAGACACACACAGAGACACACACAGTGACACACACACAGACTCACACACAGACACACACAGACACACACAGAGACACACACACACAGTGACACACACAGAGACACACACACAGAGACACACACACAGACACACACACAGAGACACACACACAGAGACACACACACAGAGACACACAGACACAGAGACACACACAGACAGAGACACACACACAGAGACACACACACAGAGACACACACAGATAGACACACACACAGACACACACACACAGAGACACACACAGATAGACACACACACAGACTCACACAGATAGACAGACACACAGAGACACACACAGAGACTCACACACAGACACACACAGAGACACACACAGAGACACACACAGACACACAGACACACGCAGACACACACACAGAGATAGACACACACAGATAGACACACACACACAGACAGACACACACACAGACACACACAGATAGACACACACACACAGACACCTTAAGACGCCGCAGGGTCGATGTTGATGTCACCGCTGTCGAGGTGGAGGAGGTGGTGGTGGTGGTGAAACGTCGGACCCCTCCGCCGAGGCTGATGAGGTTGGAGCGAGGGAGCGGGAACCGCGGCGTCTTCATAGACGCGGGGGAGGGTACGCGGGTAGCAGCGCGGAGTGGCGGGGGTCAGGAGGAGGAGGTGAGGTGAGGAGGTGGTGAGGAGGTGGTGAGGTGAGGAGGTGGTGGTGAGGTGGTGAGGAGGTGGTGGTGAGGAGGTGGTGGTGGTGGTGAGGAGGTGGTGGTGGTGAGGTGAGGAGGAGGTGGTGGTGAGGTGAGGAGGTGAGGAGGTGAGGAGGAGGTGGTGGTGAGGTGGTGAGGAGGGTGGTGAGGTGAGGAGGTGGTGGTGAGGAGGTGGTGGTGAGGTGAGGTGGTGGTGAGGAGGTGGTGAGGAGGTGGTGAGGAGGTGAGGTGGTGGTGAGGAGGTGGTGAGGAGGTGGTGAGGAGGTGAGGTGGTGGTGAGGAGGTGGTGGTGAGGTGAGGTGGTGGTGAGGTGGTGAGGAGGTGGTGGTGAGGTGAGGTGGTGGTGAGGTGGTGAGGAGGTGGTGAGGAGGTGAGGTGGTGGTGAGGAGGTGGTGAGGAGGTGGTGAGGAGGTGGTGAGGTGGTGGTGAGGAGGTGGTGAGGTGGTGAGGAGGTGGTGAGGAGGAGGTGAGGAGGTGGTGGTGAGGAGGTGGTGGTGAGGAGGTGAGGAGGTGAGGAGGTGGTGGTGAGGAGGGTGGAGGTGGTGGTGAGAAGGTGGTGAGGTGAGGAGGTGGTGGTGAGGGTGAGGAGGTGGTGGTGGTGAGGAGGTGGTGAGGAGGTGAGGTGGTGAGGAGGTGGTGAGGAGGTGGTGGTGAGGAGGTGAGGAGGTGAGGAGGTGGTGGTGAGGAGGTGGTGAGGAGGAGGGTGGAGGTGGTGGTGGTGAGGAGGTGGTGAGGGTGGTGGTGAGGTGGTGGTGAGGTGGTGGTGAGGAGGATGGAGGTGGTGAGGTGGTGGTGGTGAGGTGGTGGTGATGAGGGTGGTGGACGAGGTGGTTGTAGTGGTGAGGTGTTGATGATGATGTTGATGATGTTGATGATGATGATGTTGTTGATGATGTTTATGTTGTTGATGATGTTTATGTTGTTGATGATGTTTATGTTGTTGTTCTTGTTGATGTTGTTGATGTTGTTGATGTTTAAGTCTGCGCGGGTTTTCTCGAGACGAGCAATGGAGGCTGTGGTGCGCGCGCTCTCGCGGGAGAAGGCGAAGATGGCGGCGGCGTTGTCGTCACTTCCTGTGTGGAACGGAAGTGGGGGAAGGGGTTTTTTGGGGGGGTGACGTCGCTTCCGGTGTGGAACGGAAGTGGGGGAAGGGGTTTTTGTGGGGGGTGACGTCGCTTCCTGTGTGGAACGGAAGTGGGGGAGGGAGGGTTTGTTGGGTGACGTCGCTTCCTGTGTGGAACGGAAGTGGGGGAGGGTTTTTGTGGGGTGACGTCACTTCCTGTGTGGAACGGAAGTGGGCGAGGGGGGGGGGTTGTGGGGAGTGTCGTTGCTTCCTCTGTGGAACCGAAGTGGGGGAGGGGTTTTTAAGGGGGGGCGTGACATCACTTCCTGTGTGGAACGGAAGTGGGCGGGTGGGGTTTGTCGGGTGACGTCGCTTCCTGTGGGGGAGGGGAAGTTGAGGGGGTTGAGGGCTGAACGATTTTAATCGATTTGAAATCGAAATCGCAATATGAAACGATTTTTTTGCGATTTTAAATTTTAAAGTTCTATGTTTGATCGTTCTATTTGAATTAAAACATTTTAATGAATACATGTTGGAAGCAATTCATATCTTGGTGGCGCGGGTGACGTCACCGCGAGAACGGGGGGGGGTAGGGGGGAACGAGCGAGTGACGTCACTGCGATGTCGATGCGCGAGTGACGTCACCGCGAGGATCGAAGGGGACGCGCGGGTGACGTCACCGCGAGGATCGAGGGGGACGCGCGGGTGACGTCACTGCCAGGTAAGGGGCGGCGTTGGTTGACGTCTTTCACGCGTGGAGAGAGGGGGGGGAGGAGCGCGCTGATTACGTCATCGCGAGAAAAGCGCGGGAAAATGCGGTGACGTGCTTACAAGCGACGGCGCGAGACGGAAGAGGGGTTAATCCGGGATGGGAGGAGAGAGCGGGGGTGACCACGTGACCTGCAGGGGAGGAGGGGTTAAATAAAAGGCGGGAAGCGCTCGCGCCGTCCTCCCCCTTCCCCCTCATTCGATGAGAGGGGCACCACGTGACCTGCAGGGGAGGAGTTAAATAAAAGGCGGGAAGCGCTAGCGCCGTCCTCCCCCTTCCCCCTCATTCGATGAGAGGGGCACCACGTGACCTGCAGGGGAGGAGGAGTTAAATAAAAGGCGGGAAGCGCTAGCGCCGTCCTCCCCCTTCCCCCTCATTCGATGAGAGGGGCACCACGTGACCTGCAGGGGAGGAGGGGTTAAATACAAGGCGGGAAGCGCTCGCGCCCTGTCCTCCCCCTTCCCCCTCATTCGATGAGAGGGGCGCCACGTGACCTTGGTGGGGGAGGGGTTTAAAAAAAGGCGGGAAGCGCGCGCGCGATCGTGCTGGGCGGGGGTGAGTGGCGGGCCTGGTGTTGAATGAGGGGCGGGGCTGGTGGGTTTAAGGGACGGACAAGGATTGTGGTCTATAAGAGGGGCGTGGCTTGTGGTGTATGAGAGGGGCGTGGCTTGTGGGTGTGAGCGGCGGGGCTTTGTGGTGTATGAAGGGGCGTGGCTTGTGGTGTATTAGGGGCGTGGCTTGTCGGTGTGAGGGGCGTGGCTTGTGGTGTACGAGGGGCGTGGCTTGTGGCGTATGAGGGGCGTGGCTTGTGGTGTATGAGGAGCGTGGCTTGTGTTGTACGAGGGGCGTGGCTTGTGGCGTATGAGGGGCGTGGCTTGTGGTGTATGAGGGCGTGGCTTGTGGCGTATGAGCGGCGTGGCTTGTGGCGTATGAGGGGCGTGGCTTGTGATGTATGAGGGGCGTGGCTTGGCCGTACGAGGGGCGTGGCTTGTGGTGTATGGGGGGCTTGTCTTGTACGAGGGGGCGTGGCTTGTGGCGTATGAGGGGCGTGGCTTGTGATGTATGAGGGGCGGGGCTTATGTGTTGGGGGCGTGTTACAAAAAAGGCGGGAATCTCCCTCGGCTCTACCCGCCGCCATCTTTCCTTTGAGAGTTTTTTTTTTATAAAAAAAAAATTTACCTCAAGGCCCCAAATTTAAAATCTTAAATTTTGTTTGAAAATTTTTTTTCTAATAATTACTACTTAGAGGGGAGGTTTTTTTTTGTCTTGTTTACGTTGTTTGCTCGTTGTTTGAGAAGCGCGCGTGACGAGAGAAAAATAATAATAAATAATAATAAATACCCGCCTGGCTTTGGACTGAAGGAAACGGAATAACCAGCGGCAGGAGGATAACAAGTTGACGAGGAGAGAGAACTAGCGAGTTGTGTGAGGTTGGTGTCACGTGTTGGGTCGTTATTGTTACAAACATCGCCATCGTCACTTCAAACAACATCATCACCACTACCATCATCACCACTACCATCATCACCACTACAACCATCACCACTACAACCATCACCACCACTACCATCATCACTACAAACATCATCACTACAAACATCACTACCATCACCACTACCACCATCACTACAACCATCACTACCATCATCACCACCACTACAAACATCATCACTACAACCATCACTACCACTACAAACATCACCACCACTACTACCATCATCACTACTACTAACATCACCACTACTACCATCATCACCACTACCATCATCACTACAACCATCACCACTACCATCATCATCACCACTACCATCATCATCACCACTACAACCATCACCACTACAACCATCATCACCACTACTACCATCATCACTACCATCATCACCACCACTACAACCATCATCACCACTACTACCATCATCACTACCATCATCACCACTACAAACATCACCACCACTACTACCATCATCACTACCATCATCACCACCACTACAACCATCATCACCACTACTACCATCATCACTACCATCATCACCACCACTACAACCATCATCACCACTACTACCATCATCACTACCATCATCACCACTACAAACATCACCACCACTACTACCATCACCACTACAAACATCACCACCACTACCATCATCACCACTACTACCATCATCACCACTACTACCATCATCACCACCACTACAACCATCATCACCACTACTACCATCATCACCACTACTACCATCATCACCACCACTACAATCATCACCACCACTACAACCATCATCACCACTACTACCATCATCACCACTACTACCATCATCACCACCACTACAACCATCATCACCACTACTACCATCATCACCACTACAACCATCACCACTACAACCATCACCACTACAACCATCATCACCACCACTACCATCACCACTACAACCATCATCACCACCACTACCATCATCACCACTACAACCATCATCACCACTACAACCATCATCACCACTACCATCACCACTACCATCACCACCACCATCATCACCACTACCATCACCACTACCATCACCACCACCATCATCACCACCACTACAACCACCATCACCACTACCATCATCACCACTACAACCATCACCACTACCATCATCACCACTACAACCATCATCACCACCACTACAACCATCATCACCACCACTACAACCATCATCACCACGACAACCATCATGGTATTATTTGCAAACAGCGTTGGTGTACGTTGCTATTTCAGGATTATTTTGCTGTGTTTTTTTCCCCCCTGGATTTTCTGCTTTGCACAAAGTCACACAAAGTCACTTTAAGATATTCTTAACTCTTTCGGTGAAGCCACGTTGAAGGGAAACAATACAATAATGAAAAATATATTGTTTTTGATATATATTTTATTGTTTCCCATCAGCTAAGAATATGAATAACTGCAGTCTCGAAAGCTTGAAATCTGAATTTCACTTTTGAGATATTTTTATTGTTAGTGTTTTTGTTGTTGTGGTTGTACCCGATTCAAGAGCCGAATGGCTCACAGGGCTATACCTAATTATTGAATGTAACTCTGAAAAGTGTGTTGTGTTGTTTGGATGTTTGTTGTTCCAAGCATCAGCACCATCATCAGCATCATCATCAGCACCATCAGCAGCAGACTGTCAGAGGCCCTCAGCGATGTCTGAAGAGGCCACTCTAGAGGAGTGGTGAGCACCTTGCTACTATCACAACTATCACAACTATTACTACTAGTACCACTATTGCTACAGCTACTACCACTACTAGTACTACTATTACTACAGCTACTATCACAACTATCACAACTATTAATACTAGTACCACTATCACTACTACTACAGCTACTACCACTACTAGTACCACTATTACTATTACAGCTACTATCACAACCACAGCTACAACTATTAATAATGCTACAGCTACTACCACTACTAGTACCACTATTACTAATACTACAGCTACTACCACTACCACAGCTACAACTATTAATAATGCTACAGCTACTACCACAACTATCACAACTATTACTACAACTATTACTAATACTACAGCTACTATCACTACCACAACTATTACTACTACTACAGCTACTACCACAACTACAACTAGTACCACAGCTACTACCACAACTACCACAGCTACTACCACTACTAGTACCACTATTACTATTACTACAGCTACTACCACAACCACAGCTACAACTATTACTGATACTACAGCTACTACCACCACTACTACCACAACTCTTACTAGTACCACAGCTACTACCACTACCACAGCTACAGCTATTACTAATACTACAGCTACTACCACAACCACTACCACAACTATTACTACAGCTACAGCTACTACCACTACCACAGCTATTAATAATACTACAGCTACTACCACAACCACTACTACAGCTACTACCACAACCACTACTACAGCTACTACCACAACCACTACTACAGCTACTACCACAACCACTACTACAGCTACTACCACAGCTATTACTAATACTACAGCTACTACCACTACCACAGCTATTACTACAGCTACAGCTACTACCACTACCACAGCTATTGCTACAGCTACTACCACTACCACAGCTATTACTACAGCTACAGCTACTACCACTACCACAGCTATTGCTACAGCTACTACCACTACCACAGCTATTACTACAGCTACAGCTACTACCACCACTACTACCACAACTCTTACTAGTACCACAGCTACTACCACTACCACAGCTACAGCTATTACTAATACTACAGCTACAACCACTACCACAGCTATTACTACAGCTACAGCTACTACCACAACCACTACCACAGCTATTGCTACAGCTACTACCACTACCACAGCTATTACTACAGCTACAGCTACTACCACTACCACAGCTATTGCTACAGCTACTACCACTACCACAGCTATTACTACAGCTACTACCACTACCACAGCTATTGCTACAGCTACTACCACTACCACAGCTATTACTACAGCTACTACCACTACCACAGCTATTACTACTAGTACCACTATTACTAATACTACAGCTACTACCACTACCACAACTATTACTACTACAGCTACTACCACAACCACTACTACAACTAGTACCACAGCTACTACCACAACTACCACAGCTACAACTATTAATAATACAGCTACTACCACCACTACTACCACAACTCTTACTAGTACCACAACTACTACCACAACCACTACTACAGCTATTACTACAGCTACTACCACTACTAGTACCACTATTACTACAGCTACTACCACTACCACAGCTACAGCTATTACTAATACTACAGTTACTACCACTACCACAACTATTACTACAGCTACAGCTACTACCACTACCACGGCTATTAATAATACTACAGCTACTACCACAACCACTACTACAGCTACTACCACAACCACAGCTACTACCACAGCTATTACTAATACTACAGCTACTACCACCACTACTACCACAACTATTACTAGTACCACAACTACTACCACAACCACTACTACAGCTATTACTACAGCTACTACCACAGCTATTACTACAGCTACAGCTACTACCACTACCACAGCTATTACTACAGCTACTACCACTACCACAGCTATTGCTAATACTACAGCTACTATCACAACCACTACCACAGCTATTACTACAGCTACAGCTACTACCACAACCACTACCACAGCTATTACTACTAGTACCACTATTACTAATACTACAGCTACTATCACAACCACTACCACAACTATTACTACTACTACAGCTACTATCACTACTACAACTAGTACCACAGCTACTACCACAACAACCACAGCTACTACCACTACTAATACCACTATTACTAATACTACAGCTACTACCACTACCACAGCTACCACTATTAATAATACTACAGCTACTACCACAACCACTACTACAGCTACTACCACAACCACAGCTACTACCACTACTAGTACCACTATTACTATTACTACAGCTACTACCACAACCACAGCTACTACCACAGCTATTACTAATACTACAGCTACTACCACCACTACTACCACAACTCTTACTAGTACCACAACTACTACCACAACCACTACTACAGCTATTACTACAGCTACTACCACAACCACAGCTACTACTACTACAACTACCACTACTACCACCACTACTACCACAGCTACTACCACTACTACCACAGCTACCATCACAACTACCACAACAACAACTACTACTACCACAGCCACTACTACCACTACTACCACAGCTACCACTACAACTACCACTACCACAACTACTACAACTACCACTACTACCACCACTACCACAGCTACTATCACAACTACCACTACTACCACTACTATCACAGCTACTACCACCACTACCACAGCTACTACCACTACAACAGCTACCACTACAACTACCACTACTACTACAACTACTACCACCACTACTACCACAGCTACTACTACCACTACCACAGCTACTATCACAACTACCACAACAACAACAACTACCACAACAACAACTACTACTACCACTACTACCACTACTACTACCACAACTACTACTACAACTACCACTACTACCACCACTACTACCACAGCTACTACCACCACTACCACAGCTACTATCACAACTACCACAACAACTACTACTACCACAGCTACTACTACCACCACTATCACTACTACTACCACTACTACCACTGCTACCACCACTACTACTACAACTACCACAGCTACCACTACTACCACAGCTACTACAACTACCACAACTAGCACCACTACTACTACCACCACTACCACAACGTCTACTAACACTATTAACTACTACTACTGACTAGCATTAATAACACTACTACTGATGCTGATACTACTTCTGATGATGATGATACTACTACTGATGATGATACTACTACTGATGATGATACTACTACTGATGATGATGATACTACTACTGATGATGATACTACTGATGATGATGATACTACTGATGATGATACTACTACTGATGATACTGCTACTGATGATGATGATACTACTACTGATGATACTGCTACTGATGATGATGATACTACTACTACTGATGATGATACTACTACTGATGATGATGATACTACTACTGATGCTGATACTACTTCTGATGATGATTCTACTACTGATGATGATGATGCTACAGTGAGGGATACAAGTATTTGATCCCCTGCTGATTTTGTACGTTTGCCCACTGACAAATAAATGATCAGTCTATAATTTTAATGGCAGGTTTATTTGAACAGTGAGAGACGGAATAACAACAACAAAATAATCCAGAAAAACGCGTGTCAAAAATGTTATAAATTGATTTGCATTTTAATGAGGGAAATAAGTATTTGACACCCTCTCAATCAGAAAGATTTCTGGCTCCCAGGTGTCTTTTATACAGGTAACGAGCTGGGATTATGATCACAACTCTTAAAGGGAGTGCTCCTAATCTCAGCTTGTTACCTGTATAGAAGACACCTGTCCACAGAAGCAATCAATCAATCAAGATTCCAAACTCTTATACTTATTTCCCTCATTAAAAAGCAAATCAATTTATAACATTTTTGACACGCGTTTTTCTGGATTTTCTTGTTGTTGTTAAACTGTCTCTCACTGTTCAAATAAACCTGCCATTAAAATTATAGACTGATCATTTCTTTGTCAGTGGGCAAACGTACAAAATCAGCAGGGGATCAAATACTTTTTTCCCTCGCTGTTCTTCTGATGATGATGTTGTTAATGACGATGATACTACTACTGATGATGTTAATTATGATACTACTACTGATGATGATGATGTTAATGATGATGATACTACTATTGATGATGATACTACTATTGATGATGATACTACTACTGATGATGATACTACTACTGATGACGATACTACTGATGATGATACTACTACTGATGATGATGATACTACTACTGATGTTGTTGATGATGTTGTTGACGACGATGTTGATGTTGACGATGATGTTGACGATGATGTTGATGATGATGTTGTTGATGTTGTTGTTGATGTTGTTGTTGTTGATGTTGTTGTTGATGTTGTTGATGTTGATGTTGTTGTTAATGTTGTTGATGTTGTTGACTATGTTGTTGACTATGTTGTTGATGATGTTGTTGATGTTGACGATGTTGTTGATGTTATTGTTGTTGATGATGTTGATGTTGTTGTTGATGTTGACGATGATGTTAATGTTGTTGATGTTGTTGTTGATGTTGTTGACTATGTTGTTGATGATGTTGATGTTGACGATGTTGATGATGATGTTGTTGTTGTTGACGATGTTGTTGTTGTTGTTGATGTTGTTGTTGTTGTTGATGATGTTGTTGATGATGTTGTTGATGTTGTTGTTGATGATGTTAATGTTGTTGATGTTGTTAATGTTGTTGATGATGTTGTTGTTGTTGTTAATGTTGTTGTTAGTGTTGATGATGTTGTTGTTGTTGATGTTGTTGATGTTGTTGATGATGTTGTTGATGATGTTGTTGATGTTGTTGTTGTCTGACAGCAGTGACGATGCAGCGCTGGTGGCAGGTCGCCTCGTCGCTCTGGGGAGGAGAAATCTCCTCATGGGGCTCACAGCAGATGCAGTGGAGAACCTTCAGAGAGCCTGCGAGCTCCTGTACGTCACTAGTCACTCACTCAGTCACTCAGCTAGTCACTCAGCTAGTCACTCAGTCACTCAGTCACTCAGTCACTCAGTTAGTCACTCAGTCAGTCACTCAGTCACTCAGTCAGTCACTCAGTCAGTCACTCAGTCACTCAGCTAATCTCCTCATGGGGCTCACAGCAGATGCAGTGGAGAACCTTCAGAGAGCCTGCGAGCTCCTGTACGTCACTAGTCACTCAGTCAGTCAGTCAGCTAGTCACTCAGTCACTCAGTCAGTCACTCAGTCACTCAGTTAGTCACTCAGCTAGTCACTCAGTCAGTCACTCAGTCAGTCACTCAGTCAGTCACTCAGTCACTCAGTCAGTCACTCAGTCAGTCACTCAGTCACTCAGCTAATCTCCTCATGGGGCTCACAGCAGACGCAGTGGAAAACCTTCAGAGAGCCTGCGAGCTCCTGTACGTCACTAGTCACTCAGTCAGTCAGTCAGCTAGTCACTCAGTCACTCAGTCAGTCACTCAGTCACTCAGTTAGTCACTCAGCTAGTCACTCAGTCAGTCACTCAGTCAGTCACTCAGTCAGTCACTCAGTCACTCAGTCAGTCACTCAGTCAGTCACTCAGTCACTCAGCTAATCTCCTCATGGGGCTCACGGCAGATGCAGTGGAGAACCTTCAGAGAGCCTGCGAGCTCCTGTACGTCACTAGTCACTCACTCAGTCACTCAGCTAGTCACTCAGTCAGTCACTCAGCTAGTCACTCAGTCAGTCACTCAGTCAGTCAGTCACTCAGCTAGTCACTCAGTTAGTCAGTCAGTCAGTCACTCAGTTAGTCACTCAGCTAGTCACTCAGTCAGTCACTCACTCAGTCAGTCACTCAGTCAGTCACTCAGTCAGTCACTCACTCAGTCAGTCACTTAGCTAGTCAGTCAGTTAGTCACTCAGTCAGTCACTCAGCTAGTCACTCAGCTAGTCACTCAGTCAGTCAGTCACTCAGTCACTTAGCTAGTCACTCAGTCACTCACTCAGTCACTCAGTCAGTTAGTCAGTTAGTCACTCAGTCAGTCAGCTAGTCACTCAGTTAGTCACTTAGCTAGTCACTCAGTTAGTCAGTCAGTTAGTCACTCAGTCAGTCACTCAGTCAGTCACTCAGTCAGTCACTCAGTCAGTCACTCAGTCAGTCACTCAGTCAGTCACTCAGTCAGTCACTCACTCAGTCAGTCACTCAGTCAGTCACTCAGTCAGTCACTCAGTCAGTCACTCAGCTAATCTCCTCATGGGGCTCACGGCAGATGCAATGGAGAACCTTCAGAGAGCCTGCGAGCTCCTGTACGTCACTAGTCACTCACTCAGTCACTCAGCTAGTCACTCAGCTAGTCACTCAGTCAGTCACTCAGTCACTCACTCAGTCAGTCACTCAGTCAGTCACTCAGTCACTCAGTCAGTTAGTCAGTCACTCAGTCAGTCAGTCAGTCACTCACTCAGTCACTCAGCTAGTCACTCAGTCAGTCACTCAGTCACTCACTCAGTCAGTCACTCAGTCAGTCACTCAGTCAGTCACTCAGTCACTCAGTCAGTCACTCAGTCAGTCACTCAGTCAGTCACTCAGTCAGTCACTCAGTCAGTCACTCAGTCACTCAGTCACTCAGTCACTCAGCTAATCTCCTCATGGGGCTCACGGCAGATGCAGTGGAGAACCTTCAGAGAGCCTGCGAGCTCCTGTACGTCACTAGTCACTCAGTCAGTCACTCAGCTAGTCACTCAGCTAGTCACTCAGCTAGTCACTCACTCAGTCACTCAGTCAGTCACTCAGTCAGTCAGTCAGTTAGTCAGTCACTCAGTCAGTCACTCAGCTAGTCACTCAGTTAGTCACTCACTCAGTCAGCTAGTCACTCAGTCACTCAGTCAGTCACTCAGTCACTCACTCAGTCAGTTAGTTAGTCACTCAGTTAGTCACTCAGTCAGTCACTCAGTCAGTCACTCAGCTAGTCACTCAGCTAGTCACTCACTCAGTCACTCAGTCAGTCACTCAGTCAGTCAGTCAGTTAGTCAGTCACTCAGTCAGTCACTCAGCTAGTCACTCAGTTAGTCACTCACTCAGTCAGCTAGTCACTCAGTCACTCAGTCAGTCACTCAGTCACTCACTCAGTCAGTTAGTTAGTCACTCAGTCAGTCACTCAGTCACTCACTCAGTCACTCAGTCAGTCAGTTAGTTAGTCACTCAGTTAGTCACTCAGTTAGTCACTCAGTCAGTCACTCAGTCACTCAGTCACTCAGTCAGTCACTCAGTTAGTCACTCAGTCAGTCACTCAGTCACTCAGTCACTCAGTCAGTCACTCAGTTAGTCACTCAGTCACTCAGTCAGCTAGTCAGTCAGTCAGTCAGTCAGTTAGTCACTCAGTCACTCAGTCACTCAGTCAGTCACTCAGCTAGTCACTCAGTCAGTCACTCAGTCAGCTAGTCACTCAGTCACTTAGCTAGTCACTCAGTCAGTCACTCAGTCAGTCACTCAGTTAGTCACTCAGTTAGTCAGTCAGTCAGTCAGTTAGTCACTCAGTCAGTCAGCTAGTCACTCAGTCACTCAGTCACTCAGTTAGTCACTCAGTCACTCAGTCAGTCACTCAGTTAGTCACTCAGTCACTCAGTCAGTCACTCAGCTAGTCACTCAGTCACTCAGTTAGTCACTCAGTCACTCAGTCAGTCACTCAGTCACTCAGTCAGTCACTCAGCTAGTCACTCAGTCACTCAGTCAGTTAGTCAGTTAGTTAGTCACTCAGTCACTCAGTCAGTCACTCAGTCACTCAGTCAGTCACTCAGTCAGTCAGCTAGTCACTCAGTCACTCAGTCACTCAGTCAGTCACTCAGTCACTCAGTCAGTCACTCAGCTCAGTCAGTCAGTCACTCAGTCAGTCAGCTAGTCACTCAGTTAGTCACTCAGTCAGTCACTCAGTCAGTCACTCAGTCAGTCAGTCAGCTAGTCACTCAGTTAGTCACTCAGTCAGTCACTCAGTCAGTCACTCAGTCAGTCAGCTAGTCACTCAGTTAGTCACTCAGTCACTCACTCAGTCAGTCACTCAGTCACTCAGTCAGTCAGCTAGTCACTCAGTCAGTCACTCAGTCAGTCACTCAGTCACTCAGTCACTCAGTCACTCACTCAGTCACTCAGTCACTCAGCTAGTCACTCAGTCACTCACTCAGTCAGTCACTCAGTCACTCAGTCACTCAGCTAGTCACTCAGTCACTCAGTCAGTCACTCACTCAGTCACTCAGTCACTCAGCTAGTCACTCACTCAGTCACTCAGTCACTCAGCTAGTCACTCAGTCAGTCAGTCAGTCACTCAGTCACTCAGCTAGTCACTCAGTCAGTCACTCAGTCACTCAGCTAGTCACTCAGTCAGTCAGCTAGTCACTCAGTCACTCAGTCAGTCACTCAGTCAGTCAGTCACTCAGTCACTCAGCTAGTCACTCAGTCACTCAGTCACTCAGTCAGTCAGTCAGTCACTCAGTCACTCAGCTAGTCACTCAGTCAGTCACTCAGTCAGTCACTCAGCTAGTCACTCAGTCACTCACTCAGTCACTCAGTCACTCACTCAGTCACTCTGTCACTCAGTCACTCAGCTAGTCACTCAGTCACTCAGTCAGTCACTCAGTCAGTCAGCTAGTCACTCAGTCACTCAGTCACTCAGTCAGTCACTCAGTCACTCAGTCAGTCACTCAGCTCAGTCAGTCAGTCACTCAGTCAGTCAGCTAGTCACTCAGTTAGTCACTCAGTCAGTCACTCAGTCAGTCACTCAGTCAGTCAGTCAGCTAGTCACTCAGTTAGTCACTCAGTCAGTCACTCAGTCAGTCACTCAGTCAGTCAGCTAGTCACTCAGTTAGTCACTCAGTCACTCACTCAGTCAGTCACTCAGTCACTCAGTCAGTCAGCTAGTCACTCAGTCAGTCACTCAGTCAGTCACTCAGTCACTCAGTCACTCAGTCACTCACTCAGTCACTCAGTCACTCAGCTAGTCACTCAGTCACTCACTCAGTCAGTCACTCAGTCACTCAGTCACTCAGCTAGTCACTCAGTCACTCAGTCAGTCACTCACTCAGTCACTCAGTCACTCAGCTAGTCACTCACTCAGTCACTCAGTCACTCAGCTAGTCACTCAGTCAGTCAGTCAGTCACTCAGTCACTCAGCTAGTCACTCAGTCAGTCACTCAGTCACTCAGCTAGTCACTCAGTCAGTCAGCTAGTCACTCAGTCACTCAGTCAGTCACTCAGTCAGTCAGTCACTCAGTCACTCAGCTAGTCACTCAGTCACTCAGTCACTCAGTCAGTCAGTCAGTCACTCAGTCACTCAGCTAGTCACTCAGTCAGTCACTCAGTCAGTCACTCAGTCAGTCACTCAGCTAGTCACTCAGTCACTCACTCAGTCACTCAGTCACTCACTCAGTCACTCTGTCACTCAGTCACTCAGCTAGTCACTCAGTCACTCAGTCAGTCACTCAGTCACTCAGTCAGTCACTCAGTCACTCAGTCACTCACTCAGTCACTCAGTCACTCAGTCACTCAGCTAGTCACTCAGTCACTCAGTCACTCAGTCAGTCACTCAGCTAGTCACTCAGTCAGTCACTCAGCTAGTCACTCAGTCACTCAGCTAGTCACTCAGTCACTCAGTCAGTCACTCAGTCACTCAGTCAGTCACTCAGTCAGTCACTCAGTCAGTCACTCAGTCAGTCAGTCAGTCACTCAGCTAGTCACTCAGTCAGTCACTCAGCTAGTCACTCAGTCACTCAGCTAGTCACTCAGTCACTCAGCTAGTCACTCAGTCACTCAGCTAGTCACTCAGTCACTCAGTCAGTCACTCAGTCACTCAGTCAGTCACTCAGCTAGTCACTCAGTCACTCAGCTAGTCACTCAGTCACTCAGTCACTCAGTCAGTCACTCAGTCACTCTGTCACTCAGTCACTCAGCTAGTCACTCAGTCACTCAGTCACTCACTCAGTCACTCAGTCACTCAGTCAGTCACTCAGTCAGTCAGCTAGTCACTCAGTCACTCAGTC